AATTTGTTTGATTTTTTTTCCTCTTGGAAAGGTGAATGATTCAGTCTGACCCAGCTCAGATCTTTGGGTTATGTGCAATGTACCATCTGTTCTCTGGTGGCTTAGCAATTGACAGTGACAAGATAGCAAGAATTAATGCGCCACCTTGAAAAATATTATAAAAGGCAAGCTAATAAACCATGGGAGAAAGCAAAAAATAAACAAACAAAAATTCAAAAACCCCAGTACTTGGAACCAGACCTTGAAAATGTTGCTTCTTAATGAAGCTTCCTGTTAAAAACAACATACAGGTTAATTCATACTCCCTCATAGGGAAAGGCAACCTTGACAAGTGGCTATGTTACAAATTCAATTCTGTCTGCTGCTTAATACTGAAAGTATACCTTCACCCTATTTTGAAAGTAAGGCTGTACATAACTGTTCTGCCCTCAAGTGAAAACCATTTCAATGTAATAGCTGTTTTATGCAGATGCTATCATAAATTCCTGCTTGGGAAGTGTTTTCCTATGGGCGTTGTAGTTAACACTAACAGAAGTGATGGCTCTGATCAGTGGGAGTGGAGGGAAATTCAGAGCCCCACTGAGCTGGGCCTGATTGCTCTGCTCCTGTAGTTTGGGTGCATTCACGTTCGCAGAATTGAGGCCAGTGTGAAGAAGTCACCTGAAAAAACAGAGCAGACACCTTAAATCTCTCTGTCACATGGAAACATCAGACCAGTCAGAAGTAATGCTGCTACTCTATCCCTTTTCTCCTGCCAAACAGCTGAGGAGCATTTGAGCAGGAAATATCTAAGATAGTATATGTGCTATTCTGTAGCACCAATACAGACATGAATGGATGAAGAAATAGTTTTCAAAGGCCGCTGACAAGTCAGAAATTGTGTTGTCATAAAACGGATACCTTCTCCTCTGTTACTAATAACACCATAATTTCTTTGAAGTGAAACAGTTTGAAAAATACCAGTGAACTCGTTGCTAACTGTGGTCTTGGTTTACTTTTTGCATTGCTGTCAGCTTGCACCATAATTCATCACTGTCACCTGGCAGGGAGCAGGCTGGTGCACTGGTAGTGCTTCTCAGGCACTTGGAAGGCTTGTGTTTGACACCTGCTCCTGACTTTCTTCCCTTCCTCCCTTCCACAAGGGCACATTCTCACTCATTACAATTAATGCAAAAAAATCCTATTGATTGTAAAGGCAGCTGGATTTGGCCCCAAACTATTAGGGCCTGGAAGTGCCACTGGGGCAGTGTATTCATTCAGCCTTTGGGTGGAGGTGGAAGGTAAAAGCCTTCTGTGACTTCCAGTTGAGTAAGAGGGAGTGCAAGGAGGCTCCAAGATCCCTACCTTATCCTCTCCTCCTCTGCAAGACTGTTAGCTGCCATTTGGGGTTTCAGAGTGACGGGAATGAAATAGAGAAAATGGATTTGAAGTTGCTCAGGGAAATATGGCGAGTGATATAGTATCCTAGAAGCTCCAGGGAGCTTTCCGTGAATTGCTTTTAGTAAAGTTTTGGAACCAAATGGGCAGAACTGGATGTGGCTTCTCACTTGGTACCCAAACTGCCTGTTTCCCTTTAGCCTATTTCCTCTTGTCCATGCACTTCCACAGAAAGATTTGTGTCTGTCAAGCTGCAAATAACCTTACCATAGGGGTAGTGCCTAGAAGGCCCACAGGCATTACCAAAGCAAATCACTTGAGGTACAAATTTGAAAGTTGTCTTTTCTTTTTTATATTTCAGTTAAATTGCAGTTTGTTGTAAAAAAATGAAATTCCATCTGAATCTATCAGTAATATCAGAGTCTAATTTTCTCCTCCCTCACACATGGTCAACAGCAGAGTAGCTCTTCTGGAAATCTGTCTGATTTGCCCTAGCTTAGGAGAGAGGAGAATGAGGCTAGCATTTCTAAAATTATCATAAATCTTTATTTTGGCACGTTTTTTAAAAACAGAAGTTTGACCTAATGGATTATAAATACCTCATTTGCTTTGAGCTATTATTATAATCTATCGCACTGAACCAGCCGGCACAAATATGCAGAAAATCTGCATGCTAAAAATTGTTCAGAAATGTTTGAATAAATTGGTGTTAATACACTGTAAGCTGTTGGCAAAATCATTCAATGATTAGCTATTTTCCTCTTTATATTGTTCATAGGCATTAGCCACACTGTTGATTAATGGCAGTCGAATTTTCTGTTTAAAGAAACAAATGCATTTTTAATTACAGACCCTTTTGGAAGTCAGCAGAACTTCTGCCTGAGTGAGAAGCAGAGGATTAAGTCTTATTTAAGTTTAAGAATGGATTTTAAACTATGAAATGTCTATTACTTTGTTTCCTCCATTTAATGTTTCTGAATTGACAACAGTTTTGTCAAAAAATTGTTAAAATCACTCTTAGACTAAGACCTTGCATGTATCAGTCTAAACTCTTTTGTGACTTGTTAGGAGTAAGTTGCTGCTTCCTGGAAAATGTAATTTAAAAGGACTGAAATAACATTTACTTTGATGGCATAAATAGTGCTGCAGTGTTAATTTAATATAACCAAATATATTATTATTACAGTGGTATCCATAAGTGCTAATCAGGAAAAGGGCCCAATTGGGACAGGCACTGGACGGAGAGATGAACTTAGGCCCTGCCCCCTAGGCTTATTAATTTGTTTCCATGTGATTTAAGAAGAATACAAAAAGCCCCATATTGGGTGATCCCCCATCCAACGTAGCGTCCTGTTTCTGACAGTAGCAAGTAGTAGTTGCTTTAGAGAGAGTGTCTATGAAAAGGGCATGTCTACAATGATCATACTGTGCCAAACCCTCCCTGGGATCCATGGCCATTGGTTTAGGGGTATCAGAGGATACATCCCCGATTTATTTTGAGAGCTCCCAATGGATTTGTTTGCCAGGAATTTATCTAATTCCTTCTCAAATCCAACTATGCTATCTGCCTCTACAACCCCCTGAGCAATGAGTTCCACAAGTTAGCTACACATATAATAATAAAAAGGATGCTTTCTGATCATTTCTGTGGATGCCTCCTGCTTCTTGTAATCTGGAACTTGGTGAGTAAGTTCCCTATTCACTTTATTTACATTCATCATGGTTTTAAAGATGCGTATCATATTCCCCCTCATCCCTCTCCTTTCCATACTAAAGCATCTTAGCCTTTTCAGTATCTCCAGGTGTGGCAGATGCTCCATACACCCGACCATATCGTTGGTCATGGTTTTGTGCATTCTTTGTGAAACGGTTCAGATTGCTTGGCCAGTTGAAAGGAGTTTGCTGCCTTTTACAGTTGCACATAATTTTGTTTAAAATATGTGAAGTACAGATGATTACGTGGGTATAAAATCCCTGGTATGCCAAAGGGAAAAAAAAAAGTCAGTTAGAAGTACTGAAGTCCCATTCACTTTGGTGGCATGACGAGCACTGCCATGTTAACATGAACGTATTATTAGTACGGGGCTACTAACACAGCGCTCATCCTCTGACCCATGGACCAGATGCAGCCCACAGAGCCGCGGCATCTGGCCTGCCAGGCTCCCTGTGGGTCAGGACATTTGGCAGCGGGGCAGGAGCCACCCTCCCCTGCTGCCAAATGCCCACGCTCCCTGTGTCCTCACAGCCAGATGGGGCTGGACCAGGCTCCTTGTCCCCACATGGCTGGGGCCAGGCTGCCTCTGCATGGCCAGAGGGGGCTGCACCCATCCTGGGCAGGCACTGGGGCCACCAGCTGCATCTGGCCGGGTGGGGAATGGGAAAAAGATCACAAGAACATAAGAATTGCCATTTATGGGGTCAGACTATAGGTCCATCCTGCAGACTATCAGTCAGACTATAGGTCCCAGTCTCCTGTATCACGGCATGGCCGATTGTGGAGACGGAAAGACCAAGTGAACCGAGTGTGACTGGAGCTGCGCACCATGACACTAACAACTGGACGCACATATATATATATATATACACACACACACACACACACACACATTAGTAATAATATTGTCTTGAAGCCCTTTAAAAGAGCACAGATGCAGCTTCCTCGGTAAAACAAGGAGGACGGGTGCGACCTTGGGATCAGGAGCTAGGCCTGGCATATGCCCCGCCATTCCCCCCCAACCCTGCAGTAAGTCTGCAGGGGGGAAAGGCAGAGCAGCCGCCGGCGGCCCGGCATTATCACGCAATGAACTGGCGAAGGGCACAACGCGTTCGGGCGCCAGTATGGGTGAACCTGGCAAGAAAGGGCCCGTGCGCGCTTCGCGACG